TTCTTGTTTCATACAGCAGTTGTAGCAACTTGATCACTGAGCTTTGCAGTTCTCTGCTGCAGGCATACTTTTGTTGTCGAGTGAATAATGCGCATGTGTGGTTTTTCTTAGGGAAACATTCTAACTATGCATGCTTATGCAGCAGGTTCTCGGTCAGAAAGCGTAACGATCGTACATACAAACAAGCAGAATAATAGTATAAATACAACTGTATAATTGACAGTAGCAACTATTATGATTAATTATTACAAAGTTTCATAAACAAAAATTTCACTAACTTCCAAACAACACAAAATCTTCTTTCTAGTTCAGAGACTCCTTGATATCCAGCAAGTTAACTTGAAGTTGATATACGTACAATTGCCGAGAAGCTAGCTAGCTTTGTCAGACACTGAATTGTTGGACCGTCGAAGTAAGATAATATTTTCATAAAACCACTAATGTCCGATGATAATTCAGTAATACTTTCGGAAAGATACTAACGTCCAATGAGAATCCACTGACATTCAAAATTTATAACTGTTCCTGGTCAAATGTCATATATTTTCCAGTTGATAATGGTTAGCAAAATCACGGTTTATAGTGTACACGGTTATAACAGGTTTCTAGCAGACTTGTAAGCTATCTTCTTTGGCCTTTGTCTTTTTATATGTGCGGGAAATGTTTTTTGGACAACAGTACTGAACTATATTTAACCGGTTATGGAAGTGGATATATTGTCAATTCTTGCATTCACGAATGTTCTACAACCTTGGAGAATTGGAGTTTCGCCATACATAACTAACACTGTAAGCTAGGCACGTTTTTACATATAAACTCAATCTCAACAAACGTTGTCATAAAAATAAATATATAACAAATTTGTTACATGCAATACATATCTGACACTATAAATTACACGTATTTTTAAATACAAATGTAATCTAAACAACGTTCATATTAAAAATAAATACATAACAATCAATTTGTTACATTTCTCAAAAGTTCAATAGAATTATAAAAAAAATAATCTGTCTTATCCATTAGCAGTGTCAGTATAAAGTTCAGCAGCACTATATTCAAGTTGTAAAGTTCTAACTATCCATTTTGTAGCAGTATAACCCTTTCATAAAAACAGTTATCATAGTAGACACTTTTAACATGGAGTGTTAGCACATTTATATACAGTGCACAAACTAATAATAGAAATTTCTGCATTGATCTAATTTTTGAAGAGAATATTTAAGGAATAATAAAAAAGAAATTAATGCTTTAAATGCATGATTAAATTTTGGGTGGGTTCTTGAAAAGTGTCAATTTACCACTAAAACATGAAATTTAGAATTTGAAATTTTTTGGTACTTTTTCAATATAAAAATCCACTAGTTGCATTTTTACTCGGTGATATATGCACATGCAGTACTAAGGCAGAAATTCAAGGACATGTAAGTATCCTGATTGTCATAATATGAGGAAAAGTATTTGTGATGCCATGGGGTAAATCCATTCATCCCACCAAACAGCTATAAATGTCAAGCATTATAGCATCCAAAGGGTTAATATGGGATGGTGCTGGTATGTACCTATTTTAATGTTCCAGTAAAGTTAAAAGTCTTATTTTACAGATGTGTTTATTTGCTTATTGCTGCATTTTCTTTTTGTCCTAATCTTTAATGCATTCAGCTATCAATGCTCAAAAAACTTCAAAGAAATTTATTGTAAGTTAATGTTCCATCTATGTTTTTATAGTTTTATGTGATAACTTGAAATATATTAAGGTGGTGCATATGCCTTGGGGGTGTGTACAATCACAACATTTTTGGAATATTTCAGTTATTTATGAAAATATCTTGATAAAAATGGGAAATATGAAGAAAAAAAAAAGGCTTAATTCTCTTGTGGTGCAACTATTTTTGAAATTAAATAATAGATAAATGGTGAAATTTTAATAAAAATTTATAAAACAAGCAAACAAAATGATCTTACTATTAACAAGATTATGGTTACTAGTTTAGAACTACTCAAAATACTCTCTAGTTTTGGGTAGTATTAAAGCTATAATATGGTATGTGGAAAAGTCTGTCTGGAAAATATAATATTAATACACATTTTGAAAAGTGATATAATAAAATTCATATTTAAATTTGTTTGTTAACATTAATTTTGAAGCAAGGTATTAACATCTTTTTTTTAATATCAGGAACACAATTAAACATATCTTATCTACTTTGTAGGTTATATCATTTTGCTAGAGATTTAATTGCTTTGCAAGAAATATATTGATACTAGTGTATTCTAATTTTTTTTGTTTTCTGTGTTGATGTACATTATATGCATCAGTTATTTTTATGTAACTTGAAAAAATAAGAAGGGGACTGATTGTTGTATTTTTCTGCAGCTTATACTAAGTAGCGTCCTTAATTGCTTGTATGATGCCGTTGGGCAAATTTTACGCAAAAATGTGGAAAAGAAAACACTTTTTGAAAACTTGGACATCATCATGTTAGCCATAGATGAAATATGTGATGGAGGGTAAGGTTTTTCTCTAATTTTTGTATGGTACACAATGTTTTGATACCACTGACTGAAAACAGAACCCCTTTTCTTGTGTCATTATTCAAGGAATTGGGAAAAATTGTGATTAATCATTTATTTATTGGTCTCAAAGCATTTTTTTTTCAGTTATAAACACTAAAAAAGAACAAACAGTTATTTGAAATTCAGTTTTTCAACTCAAAAGGTCTTGAGTTTTAATACCCACAGAGCTCATTTATTGCTAGTTTCATATTTGAAGTACCTAATTATAAGTGACGCAAAAAAAAAGAATATATTAAAGATTTTATTGGAAGGTGAGTTAAACGTTTGTACTTTACACGTACATTAACACATTTATTCAAGTTAAGTATATATTGACCATTTCCAGAAGGGTCATGGGTCAAAGGCCATGTCATTGCATTTGTTGACTCACATTCAAAATTTTATTGAACTATTATTTCATGAATTTATGTCAGTAAGTTTGGTATCAAATTGTAGATTATAATTCAAATTTTATATAACACATTATTCAATTTCTTAATTTAAAAGTAAGTATTAAAAAACAGTTAAACATTGATTGTGTTTTATGTGGTATATTGAATGTAGCACTGGTATATTGAATGTAGTCTATAGTTTCATATGGAATAGAAAGTCAGATTACCAATATTGACAAGCTAGAATAAAGAATAAGAACCTCGTATCTTTTGTATTTGCTGATA